TTCTGCGTTTCGCGACCACGACCCCCCGGATCCCTGTGACTGTTGACACTTTTGAGACGCGAAGACCCGAGGCGAGTCCAAAAGTGACGACAGTTCTGCGTTTCGCGACCACGACCCCCCGGATCCCTGTGACTGTTGACACTTTTGTAATACGAAACGTAAAAAGTGACGACAGTTCTGCGTTTCGCGACGATTTTCGTCCCTCCGGCATGTCCGACCCTCCGCGAACGCTTGCGGACGCTTGCAAACGAGGGACGCTTGCGAACGCTTGCGAACCCAAACGCAACGACCTCGCGTCGCCTCCTGGACTTCTGGACCCCAACCTTAAAACCGGAACCCTTCCGCTACGCATTCGGGAAAAAAAAATCAGGAAAATAAATTCAGACGGTGGCGTGAGTCAGGTCGCAGCCAGGTGGCTGTCAAAAACATCAAGACAGATTATTGTCGTCAGCACAGCTCTTGCGATGAATGTCCGCTTGCAGACCGCTTTGCTGGCACAGTGCTCTTCAGGGCCAGCATGTGCTGAAACCAGAGGCTTGGGCAGAGCACAGGCAAGCTCTTTTGGAGCGACGCGAGGGAGTGTAGGGCCTGGGGAATTTGTTCCTGTCTGGGTTCTGACTCTGTTCGCGGCAGCTTTAAAAGTGTGGAAGCTCTGCAAACTCAGTGGAAACTGTGGCGGCGGACTGGCACACGCGGGGACAAACCGTCGACGCAAGCAGCCGTCCAGAATAGTGCGCACGAGCCTGTCAGAGCTTGTCTGCACCTCTCCTTGTACGGTGATCATTGAGTGGATTCGCCCAGGTGGCACATGGCCTGCTAGGCGCGCTGCCTAAATTCTACATCCATGTTTGCATGTACGAGCCTGAGTACATGTCTGTAGCAGGTGCGGTTTTCATCGGCTCCGTGGTGGGCATGCTGACGATGGGGCGCGCTCCTTACGACAGCATGTCTGTGGCGTGTGCAGACCCCACTGAGAAGCCTGTGCTGTTCGCAGGTACTTGGGAGATGTATTGGGCATCCGACCAGCTTTGGCTTGCAACTTAGATGAGATGCAGACATGCCTTTGTGTTGGTGGCTGTGCAGAACTGCACTGTTTATTGCAAGCGGTCAAAATGGCATCAACGCAAAAATCAGCACTTGCTACAGATAATCACCAATGGCTTGGCGGCTTTCGGAGCATTGGCATCGTCGCTGTTCTCTTGGGGTGCTCCAGACATGCACTGGCTCAGGGCTGAAGTGGTTAATTTTATGGGCTGATGTGGCGGTGTTTCTTTCGATGGCCGATAGAAAGGAGGCAGAGGACTCTTGTCATCCATGTCAATGGAGGTACGCCAGAGACCATCTGGACCTTGATGCCATCTTGTCTTGGAAGCATTTCGTCACGAAAGGAGCATTACTCAGCATCCTTGCACCGCATGCTTTAGAGGACAATGATTGCCATTAGTCGATTGATCATGGGAATCGGGGCCGCCGACCCAGCAACAAATGTTGGGTGCTGATGGGGCGACGACCGTAGCTTGTAGAACTACAAGGTGGGCGGCAACTATCCTCTTAGCGCCGCGAAGGCCATTCAACCTCAGCATGCTAATCAGTGTGGTGCTCAGTGAAAAGTCCAGGCAGCGGAGCCAGGAAAGGGAGCAAGAGAGGCGGCTCTGTTTTATTACAAAACTCTGAGATGTTTGCAGTTGGAACATTTATTAAAAGCTAGGTGAGTGCCGTGGACGCGGCAAACAGTGCTGCGAAAGCATTCTTTTGGCCCCTCGGCAACATCTAGGGCCCTCCTTGGTGTGAATTGATTTCTTGCTGGCGGGAGGGGGAGAGGCTGTGGATGACGGATGGTTTGGACTGGCAGAGTAAGCAGCAGTAAATGAATTTAGGATGCAGGGCATCCGCGCAGAGAGCTTGTAGCAGCGATCTTGTTATACAGTAATGGCCTGTCGGACGCCCCCCTCGCGGTGGGACGCTACTTGGAGGTGGGATTGCTGGCATGTTCGTCCATGCGTCAAGCAGACAGGAGCAGTTATCAAGATTATGTGCCCCCCCTGTCCTCCTTTTAGCAACCCTTTTTTGCATCAGTCTCACGACGGCACCCTACTTGATTTCGTGCGTTGAGAAGCTGACCTCGAATTTAACCAGCACCCACATGGGAAGCAGCTCGGGTAAGCAGTTGGCGGCCGCGGCCGCATCAATTGTACATCATTGCTCTCTGTCTGTCGCAGCATTCTAAGAAGAAAGCCATCGCAACTCATCACAGCTGGCAGCTAGGAAGGCCGCCGAGGCCCCCTAGGTGACCCAGGCTTTCCTGGCAAAGCAGCCTTGTCCCCATGTTTGGCATGTCCAAGGCAAGGACCTGGGCAGCTGGCTCCCTACTTGCCTTCAACTGAGCTGGCCCTGCAAAATGTCAGGCCATGACACGAATTGTTCCACACGCATTACACAGGGCGAGGCCACAAGGCTTCCGGGACAAGCTCTGAGGCTGGCACTGCCACTGCTCCGACTGCCTCCAAACCAGGCAGGGCTGTACTTGGGTCTTTTTGCGTTGTTGCGTTGTGCCTGTTGGAGTCTTGAATCTACAATGTTGCTTTCTTCCCTGAGCTTTCAAATGGTCACGGCTGTTGGTGTCTGCTGTCATGCCTGGTGTCTGATTTGCAGTCTTCTGCTGACACCATTCGCACGTTCCGGAGTTCGGGGATGTAGGCAAGACGGAGTCCAAGCCGTGTTGCTACAGTGCCGTCCCTTTGCAAACGAAGGAAGTCGGCCCTGCACAGAACCTGCAAGTGATATCGCCGCTGCAGTTAGATGAGGGCGGAATGCATCAGTTGTCTTGCCAAAAAAAGGTCTCCTAAGCGCCCACAGGCCAAATCAAACACAGGCAGAGAGCAGCGGCATCCATGCTCGGATTCAAAATGGCAGCAGCAAGCACTGGACTCATGACTCCTAGCACCACCATGCACCACGAGGAAGGTGTTGCGCCTTCTTAGCAGCAGGCCCAGCCAAGACCTTTGATATATACATATAAATCCGCTCTCTTCTCAACCGAACACTCAGCAAGGTTCTAGTCTCATTTCAGAGAGAAGAGCCCAGTAGCAGCATCCAACAAGAAGGCGGTTTGCAACCCCGTCCGTTGACAGCTCGCAACAGTCAACCCTGCCAACCAGTACCAGAAGCAAGAGCGACTCCGATAAACATGATAAAAAATAAATAATGTTATGGAAAAAGGCGAAATTCCGTTAAAGACGCAAAACAGGGTGTTGAGGGATGTTGCGATTGTTGTGCAAGCCGCCATCTTCATCAACATGTACAGCAGCTGTTGGGGGCATTTTGTACCAACAACTGGAGACATGTTATTCCACGAAGATGCCTGTATGCTTCCAACACTGTCATGATGCTGGTTGACGGGATCGGTGCGATTTACCGCAGTGCTGCAAGTCGACCCCTGGTGCGCTCTGCGGAGCAGTCTGCCGCAGCGAGGGGCGCCAAAGTAGCCCTGTTGTGTGCTCTATCCAGTGAATCCAATTTGCAAGCGATTCGTGGCGCTCTTTATGCTGAGACCTCACTGTGTTGGGCTGGCGCTTCAAAGAAGCTTCGTCCTCACATGTCATACATCTTAGAAAAAGTGACTCCCACATGAAAAAGTAGACACAGGCTGTAGTAGCTATACATAGCGGACTTGCTGCAGTGCAATTGAAGTGTCGGGAGAAACGAAAGGACACTTCAGTGCCTTGAGGCACCGAAAAACAACATGCTGCTTGATGTCACGCCAAACACGCTGAGCATGGTCCGCCCATTTGGTTTTGTTCATCACTTGTCCCTAAAATTCTATGCCCGCACTTCTGGCATGTTGAGGACAGCTAGTCAAACCAGAAAACTGGAATTCGCAGCAGTAGCGACATGTTTCGTGGCTGTCACTTGTCGTGCGCAGACACGCCTGTCAGAGATCTGTGGTACGCAAGCAGAGCAGTCAAGCAATTGTGGATCATGTCCCCAATTTCCCTCACACGCTTGAAACATCAAGATATGTGGCAGGGCATTACTTCCGTCCAGTTCCGTGTGCTCCTTGGAATCGGGGCGATACCTGCAGCGGTGGCGTGGACCTTTGTCAGTAATCTCCGCTGATCTCTGCTGCTAGCTGCGGCACTGTGTTCGAAAGTGCAAGGTATTTCTGTGCTCCGTCTACGAGGCCCCAAAAGATTCCGATGCGCCACTCCTGGCTGTGCTGCAAGCAGCTGCATCCAGGAACATTATCCTGCGGTGATGACCTCAACGCAGCCATAACAAAAAACTATCAAAAAATGCTGCTTCTTCAGGCTAGCGTGCCAGGCCGCCAGGGAACTGAGACACAACTTCATGCAAAGTTGCACAGGTCGCCGGTCACCAGCCACGTGCTTCTGACATCATATGAGGCGGCAACCTTCGTGATAAACGTCACTGGCAACTCCTGGTAGGCGCCAGCCTGTGACTGCCTGGTGCAAGTTAAGTTCGGTAGCATCGCTGCGCTACCAAGGAACAGCGGGCTGCTGGTTTCTTTTCGATATCGCCTTCTATGGCACGGTCAGCCACCCTTCTAATTCAGCATGCGTTTGCCACGGTTTTGCTGCGTTGCAAAGCTTGCTGGTTGCTTTGAAGCCTCAAGCCACGGGCTCGCAGCCATGGACGAAATGGGAGATCAAGCCGACTGGCCTCTCATCCTAATTTGGTTGGGGCAGTTAGTCGTTTCTGGTGAATGAAGACTTCGCTGAACTTTGTTGTGGCGTTCGCCAAGTGAGGTTCTTCATCGGGAACGCAGAAGAAGCATCGACGCCCCCAAGCTGATTATCTGGGGCAAGTGCTTGTGGTGATATAGATTCTTGCTGAGCACAAAGGCAAACTCTTCCCGATGATCCAGTCTTGTTGGCAAGCGCTGCCACGCAGACAATCCAGGCAGGAACACTCTGTAAATTGAAGCTGTGTGCATCTGTGTGCAGCATTGCTTGCACTAAAAAGCCGTGTTCCAGCGAGGATCCGCCCGTGCCACCTGTCCCTGACAGGATAGGCCTGCTGGACCTGTTTTTGTGCAGTGACATTGCGCAGCCTTGCATAGCAAGAACCAGCCGAGACGTAGCCTGCGTTGGCAGGCTACGTAGTTGCTGGAGCTGCTCTTCTTGGACTGGGTCTTGCGGCAGGCCACGCCCTTAGGCACCAGCGTCAAAGCGAGCTGCAGCACCGTTTTGCATCAAGCGTTTACCATCGAGGACGGTTCATGGCGAGCAAACCGGCGCAAGGCTTCGGTAATGCATCGCGAACCCATACACAGCTCGGTCTAGCCAGCAGTGTGATTGGTGGTTGCAGGTCCTGCTCCTCACGCACCTGTCGTTGTGGAGGGCCAGGCTCAGAAGCCCGAAGGCCGCGCCGTCTCGTTGTTAACGCGCCCTCGCATCAAGCCTCCGGCACATCTTGCGGTCAAAGTTCTCCGGGCAGGTGCTGACCCTATTGCTCTTCCCAGGGAGCCTTCCATGCCGCATCCGTCTTCCACAGAGGACCTCATGATGTTTCCTTCCTGCGCCGTGCAGAATGAGCATGAAGTGATGAGCAGCACTCGCAAATCTTTCAAAGGACTGGGTGGAGTGTGCCGTCCCATCGCTGCCTGACCTGGACTCCGTGTTTTCTGATGTTCCGTTGGTTCGAGACGTAGCAGCCTGATCAGCAGGAGATTCTGAAACCAAAGATCCAATATGACATCCCAACCGAATCGCTTATTGGAGTTTCGCCACTATGCGGCAAAGAGTTCAGACTTGCTCGGGCCAAGCCGAGACGAGCACAGCTGAGGCGCAAGCTTGCCGAAGGCATCGAAGACCTGAGTGTCCCAGACCCTGTGCAGGCTTCCTTCAGCGCTTGCTTCCCCATTTCTGATATTTCTGACATGCTGAGCCGAATCTGCAGGAGCCTGCAAACAAGCAGGCATCCCGACACGGCCTACAGGCGTGAGGGTCTGCGCACACATATTTGAACCTTGTCCAGGGATTCTTAGGGATTGCAAAGCTTGGCGAGGCCACAGCAGTGATTGGCCTGGGGTTGACTGCTCTGGCAGCTGCAGCGATGCTGAGCAGGTCACTTTGCAGAGGCTGGACGCAATATGATGCAATGGTCAAAGTGATGGCACTGGTGTGCGCCTGCTTGCCTGTTCGGAGGTGCCAGCTTGCGGCAGGTACGCACGACGCGTCAGGCAATGCCGCCAGATATTGCCGTGCTTTTCAGGGAGCGTAGGGAGCAATCTAGGATTGTTGGATTCACGTTGAGACTCCAAGCACAAGCTGATGGCTTCCAAAGGTGGCCCCGGCTCCGCAAGACCGCGCCCCAGGCTTGTGGATGCCCAGCCACCTGCCTGTCCGCACCCATCGCTGATGTTGGAGGCATGATGGCGACAACCGACCTTCTTTCTAAAGCCGGTCGCCAGGCACGGGCGATAAACTCTTTCGGAAACAACTGGCCTTTGCGATAAGTGTTTTGTGACCAGGAAAAGCTTAAGGGCAGCATTCCCTCGAATCCCGCCTCGAGCCTGGCAAGAGAAGTTGGAAGACATGCGGGAACCGCTGCGTGCTCCCAGGCAATGCCTTTCGTGGCAACTGGCAAGACAAGCTCTGGCATATACCTCAAAGCAAAAAGTGCTTGAGCAGGCGATGGCTTTTACATGCTTTTCGAGGACCAAAGCAAGACACGAGTGAGTGTGTGGATATCGACTTCGCCATACTTCGCCAGTCGCGGCTTGCAAGGCACATCTGCTTGGACTAGGTGATGATCTGTGTCTTACCAGTGACTTCAGGACAGGAGCAGCCCACCAGGCCGAGGCAACGAGTGTAGCATGTTTTTTCAAAATCGGAGTGTGCTTGTCAATTGTGGCAAAGGTCTACATCCTCGATGGCATTGTGCGACCGGTGCCTACCCCGCTAGCATAGAGACGGACGGCGCTCAGCCAGTTGAGCTTTCTGCCAGGTACCTCCCACATCCTCCCGGATCTTTCGCATGCTGCCCAAACAATGAGCGGTCACTTTGACCAGCCTGGCAGCCAGCCTGGCTGGGAGTTTCAGCCGTATATTATCTTCCAAGAGCAGTGGATGAAGTCGGAGTTCCCATATTGACAGTTTGCTGTTTTGAGTACGCTGCTCCGAATTGCGGGAGGTGTGCAGCATCCCATCTGACCAAAAGCGAGCCAACCAATGAGTTGGAGTGTTGATCAGGCAGGGTTTAAATTTGGAGCATGAGCATGGTGCAGGATCACATTTCAATCAGATGGGGGTGTGGGAATGAGCCAATCAGGCCCTCAGAAATGCCAGACCTACCCTGCATGGGTCTTCCTACAAGCAACGGTACATTCCCAAACTTCCACTCGCGCTTCCAATTGTACATACCTCATTTGCAGGGTGGAGATCATGCAATTACTTATGTGCTACGCACTCAGGCAGTTATACGGTCAAAGCTGCGGAGCTTCAGGAATTTGATTTGAAAACATGCCATCATCCCCTGCTGTCCACTTCCTGCTGGTTTGGAAGAATTGCGGTCCTTGGAAGCACAGCTCTTGGCTTTGTACAAAATCCTCATGCTCAGCCAGTGGCTGTTTCTGAGTATGCAGCACGAAGTCTGCAAGCTGCACCTTTGCAGCCCAGGCCGATGGCTGAACTCTTTTGGGTTTCGGAGTGGGCCATCCATAAATTAGCGGTCGACAAGAAGTGAGCGCAAGTGCCTGGAGCTAGGAGCGACAGCCCTTGCGTGTGTTGGTTTCTGTTCCTGTCGACTTGGCCTTCACGGGCCCTGCAAATGGCAGCCTTCGGCTAAGGCTACGGCTTGTGGGGTTAACCACCAGATCATTGCAGAGAATCAGCATTTCCTCCTGGGGTAAGTCCGCAGGAGTTTTTGAATGGAACTGAAATACTTTTCATTGCAGTGTACCCGGAAAGCTTTCAAATGTTTTCAACTGCTTCAGAACTTATACAACATTTGCGTAATATTCTGCACAATATGCCCAACGTTGACGTGCGCTTCCTGTCCGGCCAGCAGTACTGCACAGAACTCAGATTGATCCGGCTGGCTTACACAAGGATTGCAAGGCTGCTCTGTTTGATCTCCAGGCTTTCAGCTGAGAGAGGACGACACGATAGATGTGTTGAGACAACGAGTGGCCGAAGTCTGGAAAGAACCTATCCTTCCTCGGAATGTATGTGAGCCTCCGCCAGCACTAGTGTGAACGCAGTTCAACAATCTTGCATTGTGTGCAAGAGAGACACCGACCAAGGTGCTTGGACAAGATGGCGAGGTAAAAAGTGGCATCGTGAACGAGACGGAGTTCACAGCATCGGACTAAGTCGAGTATGTCGCGTCGAGTCGGCTCTTGCCAGTCTGCTTCAGGCAGTCGTGTCATCACAAGCCCCATTTGACCGGGATTGGGATGCCCATGCGGACACAGTTTCCTACCTGCCGCAAAATGTGCACCTTGTTTTTGTAGGCAGGGCGCCCAGAGCTTCTTTCTAGTATGCCTTGGTCAAAAGCGTGTCGATAAGAGGCGATGGCCGGGACGTCCACGGCCTGCCTGGGGTTGGGTGTCCTGACCGCGAAGTGCTGCATTTGTTTGCATGTGCTTTGTTATTTCGCCCGTATGAAGTTTCATGCAGATGCTCTACTCACGCTCAGGAAAACTAGCCTGGTGTTCCGATGCCGTGACTGTCTTGGCTCCGGGACCGGCTGGACTGGAATGGGCAGACTGAATGGCAGTGGCCACCTAAAGGACGCCCTGGACTAGAGTGTCCTAACGCAAAGTGCTTTCGGTGTTGGCTGGTGCAGGATGACGGCACAGTCCGGTTCGAGAATTGCAGCTTGTCATGAATATCTTAAGAACCGACCTGGCGTATCTTGCTAGTACTGTGCAATGCTAGATATTGCTAGTAAGCGCTATTTGCTGCCTGATTGTCAACTGTCACATGCAGTACCTTGAAGCTACCAAGGCTGATTCGCAACGCTTACGAAACACTCAGCGCATAGCTGGAAGCACTACGCCCTAGCACACCCACAAATTGAATTACAAGGCACGCCAAGGCCAAGCCCGGAGCCAAAGTGCCGGCAAGAAGCCACCTTCTTGCACCTCCATGCTCCGGTTGACGCTCCACATGGCTCGTCCCGTCCGCACCGCGATCTCAAGCGTCCGTGCACCGATGGCACACCCTCCTACTTGAAAGCCCAGAGGGGAGCCTTTACCATCTAAAATCGCCAACTTGCGGCTGGCCTTTTCTTGATGCGTGCCGAGAAACGTCAAGTTCGAATCAGTACTGTAGGGAGGCTGGCTTGTGAAAGTTACGGAACAGAAGTGTGCGCGACATGAACGTGTGTGGTTGGCAGGTCGGAAGGTCTCTGAGAATGTCGGCTGTAATTTCTCCATCATCATCATCATCAGCATCATCATCATCATCATCATCATCGCCGTCATCATCATCACAGTTTCTAGAGTTGTTCCTGTTCAACTCGGGCTTGCTCCTAGAAGCCTTCTCGTAGCCTGCGCCTACATGTTTGAATTCACGACTTCTTAAAGATCTGCAGTAGGAACGTATAGCATGTACACGTTCTGTAGCGAGTCTTCAGATGCATGAAGCATGGCAAAGCTGTACACCGCTGCAACATGCTGCAACACTTGATCAAGAACTGCTTTCTGCGAAAGACGCAAAACGTTGACAAGCTTGCTTCACAGAAGTTTGTTGGAGCGTTCACGCAGGTCTTACCAACAGATGTTGCTGTTGTGATGCCGATGTTTCACGCTGAAGCCCTGACTGCTTTTATCTGCTTTTTTTTTTTGCACAGCTTTTCACTCTGTTGGAGGGATGTTTCAGGAGCCTTGCGAGCAATCCTCCTGGCTACAAACTCTCCCCAGTTGTGAAGGTTGCCCTCCTCCACTGTGCACTGGCCTGACTCGTGCTCGCTGCCCACTGCCCGTCCGCACACATTTCCACATCGCTTGCATGTACCATGGATGTTGACCGTCCCAGCCACTGCCCGTGTCTGCCTGTCTGTGCCCTTGTTCACATTTCTACAGCACACGTCTAAGAACAAGCCTTCTGACCATTATAAGAATCAGTTGGTCTCGGTCCAGCCCCATTCCTCACTCACCAGATGCTCAGCAACCCTCATGCACTTGCCTGGTCTCAATCCCCTGATTGCCTTGCTCACCTTCTCCATGCTCCTCGTTCGCCATGCTTGGACACCTGCGACGTGCCCAACAGTTTTTCCAAGCAACTCCAAGCACCCGCCCCCATCCGTGACAAGTGGAGTGAGATGTATACGTCGCAGGGCTTTGTTGAGACATGTAGCAGAACACCCCCCTTCAACAACAGCTCCATCAGCTAAACGCGGTAGCCATGTGATGGTGCACTTGCAGCGTTTTGTCAGCCTAGCTCAGCTTCAGGCGAATACGTGTGGAAGGATGGTGCCTGGCTGCAAGCAGGTTTTGAGAGCTGACCAAGTTTGCCAGGACAGAGAATAGACTGGCAGCACGCAAGGCAGTGGAACCACGGCCATGATAAGCCTGACTGATGCAGCGAGCTCACACGGCGAATTGCGAAACAGATACTCAGCAGAAGATTTGTGATGGATTGTGATGGGAACTCCGGCAAGCAAAGTGATGATGTGCTGGATGCACCATTCTCAAGCAAGGCTTCTACGACAGTGCTTCGGTGTACATCATGCTCTTCTCCTTGGCATCAAGGCCTGCCTCTCTTTTCATTCTGTATCCAGCGTGAACTTGTGAAGATTGCTGTCAATGGCAAGCGGCCATTTACGCCTGAGGCCTTGCTTAACGTCAGTGTTAGAGCAAGATTTGCCTCGAGGACTTCCTTCGAAAATGTCGAGGACAAGTGGAAGCATGAAATCGGCGATGCTCCAATCCTACTGGTCGGCACGAAGCTGGACCTTTGTGCCGAGATGCCGCCATCAGCCTGCGTTTCCTACCAGGAGGGCCAGGCTGACCTACAGAGTTTGGTGAAGTGAGCGCACTTCTTGAGAGATTCGTGCACGGTTTTCCTATGCATAGCCACATGTCGCACATTTCCTGCGGAGGCCCTGGCCAGGCGGCTTGGTGCTCTTGACTACTTGGAGTGCTCTGCGCTGTCGGGAGAAGGTGTCGATGATGTGATCGACGCTGCAATGTGGACTTATCTCATAGATGCACAGACAGCACGTGGCCAAGCGCGGTACTGACCCCAGGACAACCTTTGCTTCACCATCACTTACTGCATGATCTGCATGTTATTACGGCATGTCCGAGCAAGTTGCTTGCAATGGATTTAGATCAGAAATGCCTCAGGCTGGAACCGCTGATGAACAGCCAGGATCAGGCCTGTCACATAATGTGATGTTAGCATCGTTCGCGCCCTGAGGGCGCCGCATTTTCCAAGCAAAGCTGCTCAAAACAGAGCGCTTCGCTAGTCGATTAATGAACCCCCCTCCCACCCCCGCCCATGAGCAGATATGCGGTGCAAGGCCCTAGTGCCAGGCAGCAGCGTAGGTGCCATGCGCGAGTCCAACAGAAAACTCAGCCGCATACTCTACAGTAGAGCCGCCTCGCCCACAGCATGTTATGGCTTGCAAGTCAGGTATTTGCAGGATCCTGCAGCTGCAACGAGCACTGCAAATTGCAGACAGTCAAGGCTCAAATCCAGCTTGCAAGCAAAACCTAGAAATTAGCCACACGAGGGGCTGGGGCTAGCTTCTTTGCAGCACGCGCAATGCCTGTATGCTCTCACTGCAATCTGTAAAAAGACTTTGAAGACTTAGCCGAAAGAAATGCCCAAAGAGCCAATAGATGGCAGGGCAATGGCAGCGTGACTTCTTTCTTATCACCGAAGATCCTTTTGCGGTGGACCTCAGCACCTTGGACTTGTGGGTGGAGGGCCTTTCCGTCCGTGAAGCCACAGAGCGGCGCTGGAGGGATGTCGCGGAGTCTCCAGCGTTGGCGGTAACAGGAAGCCTCGCTCATCAGCGTTCCAACTCCGCCGAGCAAGAAAACTGCATGGCTCTCTTGGCACAGGATTGTGCGCAACAGTACGAGGCGTTTGAGTTTCTTGAGGAGGCCTTGACAGATCCCATTCATTTTATTGACTTTTGCCCGGTGCAGCTTACCCGGGACGTTCGCAAAACCTTTGTCAGCAAATACTACAGTTTGGATGATCAGATACTGCGAGAAATTCTCCGCCAACCAAACATTCTCAACATGAAACTGCAAGGAGGTGGAGATAAGAAGGCCATGTTCGAGGTCGATCAGATCGCCCGCTCGACCGAGCAGCGTGCCATGAAAGTCTGCCGTATCGTCATGAATCTGCAGCGTGTTGGCCGCTGGATTGAGCATGCAACTGCCCGACATGGTGAAGAGAACGGAGTGCCGTATCCAGGTGGTAGGCTTCATGTGCCGGAAATGGAGGCTTTGCAGGAGCCCCTATGCTGGCGATATCGCAGCTTGATTTTCGTGCTGCTAGCGAAGTTCGACCTGAGCAGCAAGCTGTCAAAATCTTTGCAGACCGAGCACATTGAAGATGTTGCTGCCATCTTGTTAGCGGTTGGGGGAATGCCAGAGGCAGCCGAGAGGAGCCGTTTACTTCCCATCCTCGGGGATGAAGTGCTTAACACGTACAGTTCTGCCAGCCAGCCTGCCAGACTATCCACGCTGCGGCAGTCAGTGCTTGATTGGGGCGTTAGGGAGCAGCTGCAGCAGCTGGATAAATACGTCTTACGATCCTCGGCTTTTTGGATTGCGCAATGTCCTTTACTTTGGTGTTGAGAACCCGTGGTGCCAAGGACCTCGCTTCAACGACTTCAAGGCCATTCTCGTGCAGGAACTGGAACAGAGAGAGCGCAGCGAGCGCGGTCCAGAGCTTCATCCTGTCAACCAGTCCCAGCACAGTCTGACAGTACCGGCGGGCTCAGGAGGCTCCGTGACGGGCCCTGGCCCGGGCACCTCCAGTGGTGCTTTAGCTGATGAGAGCCGGGTGGGAGGCTTGGTGGGGGCTGGGATGACTTTTTTTCGTGGCGGACGGCTGGTGAAGCTGAAGTCCTCGAAGTTGGATCCCATGGTATCTGCCTTGACCGCCGGCCTTGGCACACTGATCTCCACCTCGGAGTTCTCTTCTTTCTTCCCGCTTTTGGCCGAATTCGTTGAGAAGCTTCGGCAGTTCGATGCACTGGACCCCTGGGACGTCTTTCAGCGCTGCTACACAGCGATGGAGACCTTTGCTGAGAAGGATAAGACAGAGGACAGAAAAAAACTTTGGCCTGGGTGGCTTGAAGCTTGGTGCAAGTTTCTGGAATTCTATCGCGCTTGCGCAGCGTGTCTCCTGAGTCCATTCCCACGTCCCTGCTCCACCGGGAGTCACATGGACAGCCAGCTGGAGCCAGGAGTCATCGACGCGAGTGAGGACCGCACCAGTATGCAAGGTGAGTCCCAAGTCATCTTGCCAAGCCGCCCTTGACTGAGTGATTCTGCTTTGCGAACAAGCTTGAAGCAAGGAGAGCTCTGGGCCTTCCGCGGAAAGCCCACAGCGTGACGCCGCTATGAGCTCAAAGCGACTTGTCTGAACGTAAGGCAAGGCATGGTAAGGCCATGAGCATCGTTTTGTATCTGTCAGACGAAACAATCAAGGTTGCTCCAGCTTTGAGCGCAGCAGCGCTTGTACAAAGGATGAGTTAATGAGCCTGCTAGACGGAGGGCACGTAAGCTGCTGCCCTGCTCGCTTTGGTATGGCACGGCACAAAATGTTGCTCATCAGAAGCTGGCCCGAGCCAGCGAATAGTCAGACTCCACCACGTTGAGTCCGACAGGGACCAAGTTGACACTCCAAACAACACCCCGCAGTGACGCGACTGATGGAAGCTTGCAGCATTTCCCCTTCGCAGGTGATATTCTCCCCGGTCATCCTCCTGAAGGTCTTTGGCAAGACTGAGTCACCTGTTGGCCATTAAGAGGTTTGGTGGTTGCATGGGGATGCATCATGACATTGGTTGTGTTTGCAACCTGCAAAGTAGTCACAACCACACTGTGACTGAATAGACCAGGTCCTTGACTTCCCTGGCAGTGCATGCAGCTGCCACAATACTGGACCCTTTCTCAGCTTCTCTGCAATATTTCCTTTCTTCATGTGGCCGTTGAACCAACCCAGGTCACTATCCTGGGCAATGGTGCAAGCTTGGCAGCATGAGCCTTACCTTGGACGAGCAAGCGAGTGCTCAACGAGTGTCAACTTGGGTATGCAGAGGCTCTGAGCTGGATAGGGGCCAAAGCACTGAACACTGCTGGTCACGCTTAACTGCCCAGTTTGCTAGGTGCAGAGTTCCAAGTTTTTAGGTCGACAGCGACAATGTCTGAAGACCATCTGACTCCGGTTGCATGGCAGGTTGCCAGCTGCTTCGCATTCTGCGCCTTTGCTTTGGTATCTGGCCTGGTGTTCTGCAAAGAGTGTTGATGGCTACGGTGCTCCTGGCGCTGCGCAGCTTCTGCAAAAGAAACGCCCAATTAACCCTGAGGCGTACAAGTACTTCCATGAAGAGCACCTGCTGCAGTTCGTGCTGCTATGTATAGTCAAGTGCGCTTGCAATTTGGACAGACAGATCAAACATCCCCGCAGCCCTGCCTCCCAGTTTGGCACTTTCCATGAACAACATCTCGACGTTCATGCTGCCAGTGTTGGCTTTTCCTCGCAACGCCGCGCTCTTTTCTGCCTCTCGGTTACGCGCTATTGGCCACCACCCCTGCCCTCGCTTTAAGGTACGGTCAACCTTCCATGGCATTTCAGCTGCAGCCATGAGCTCGGATCGCTGGGTCTATGTCGCAGATTTAGGTTGAGGGCTTGTCAGTGCAGCCGCGCCTCCAGGCTGCCAAGCTTGGTGCCATGGTGGGGACAGTCCACTATTGTTTTATTTCATGCGGAATTCTGTCCCAAGCTTGTTGCAGCTTGGTTTGCTGAAGGACTGTCCTCTTCCCAGCGCGCTAGCCTTGGCTGCACTGCATGCACTACATGGCCGCAGATGCTCATGTACTCAACACTGCCCACGCTGCAAACGTATGGAGCAAGGCTCGAAGGATATGGCATTCCCGCTGTGATGCTAACGCAGGCAATCTGTTTCGTTTGCAGTCTATGAACCGATGAAACAACAGTCCAGTCCAGTTGATGATCAATGCGCTAAGCAATGTCTGGACAGTGACTGCGGCCCTGCATTATGTGAGTCACCACTGCAGCGAACCATCAACCATCCACGAGAACGATTAAATTCTTTACTCGTTGTTGAAGCAGTCGAATTTTACCAAGGCTTTTTTGTCTTGGGACGTAGGATTGTAGCCGGCATGACTCTTGGCAGGCAGCTGTCTGTGGCGTCGGAGCCTGCTGCAGTCACTGGTCAGGTGCCCAGGGGTTCCATATGCCGGTGTTCATTACTGCCACCTCATCTGCGCACTGCACCGTGATTACGAGCGGCAGTAAGATTAAGTAAGCAAGCAAGCAAGTAAGTGAAGAGCGTCAATTCTTTGTGCGTGGAAGAAGATTACAACGCGCAAGTTGACTCCTCAATTAGACTCTGAATAGACGCACGTGAATACAGTAGCAGATCGCACAGGGCGGCAAGACCGAAATGTTTGCAAGCGAAGCCCTACTTGTGACTTGTACCGTCAGCATTTTTGCTTGGGTTACCCCTTGCAGATCTGAGGTTCCTGGATGTCATGGTAGAGGATGCTGGAAGCCTGAGCACCAGCCATGTAGGCGTGGCTGTGCCAGCTGTGGTTGCAAGGTTGATTGGCACGAAATAGAGCAAGCCGGGCCTCAGAAGGTTGATGTTGAAATTGTTATGTTGCATGCCATGCTGCGCATGATCAGGTAGAGTTGCAGCTGGTTGAGCCTATTGGTCTGCCAGAACTGCCACAGGACCAAGGGAGGCTTGTGCATGCTGGATGCAGCTCCGGGGGCTTCATGTTTGTACGCTGCTCTGCCTTTTTGTCCGGCAGGATGTGGCGGACCACGAAATGCAAGTTCGCGGTGGGTGAAAGAGAGATGAAAATCATTGTGAATTATATGCAGGAGCGCAGACAGCATTTGTCGAAGACAGTGCGTCTCGCGCTTTGTCCTCATAGCAGTCACTGGACGATTGAAGCCTCGGCACCGGACAGTCGAGAATCAAGAGCACGCTGTGAGCCTTGCAACGTTGAACCTGCCCTGGTTGTGCTTGAATGTATCGCTTTCGCGATACATTGGTCCAAGAAGTCGCAGACTAGGAATGGTAAGAGAAATCCTAGCGAGAGCAGCTTTGGTGCCTGGCAGGCGCCGCTAACGTCACACAACCCCAGCGATTTCCAAGATTTCAAGACAGTATAGCACTCTCCGAAGCACGAAGTTGAAAGCAACATTTTCACAGCCAAAGCATAGCCAAAGGACGTAGGCCCGGCATGCGCCCTCGTACAGGACTGCTGGCTGAAAGCTTGCTTGCTCTTATGGAAGCTCGGGACATCTCGGGACCATCGGTTCATCATGGCAGGGCCGATCACCTCAAGAGGTGGCCGGAGGTGCCTGGGGATATTCTCCAAATCTCCTCAGAGAATTCATAGAGCCCGCCATGCCAGGCGATCTAGATATCTTTTTGTGGTCGCTGCTCTGGTTGTCACCGCCTGAAGCTAAACAAGTCAGTTGCCGCGAAAAAGTTTCCCTGGGTCTTGCTTAGAAATTAGGCCTGGACTTGCAGCAGGCCAGCATTCATGCCAACGCCTTGGCTTCCTCTTGCATGGGATTGCATGGGTCTCTTGCAGTAAAGCTTCTTGAACGGACTCCTGCAACCAAGTCCCAGCACAAAGACATCCAGACCAGGCCAACCTCTCAATCTCTCCTCAAGTGATGTGGTCTGCTGCCTTTGCAAAAAGAGGTGTGCAGCCGTCCTGGGGTGCGCTCGGATGGTGGACACTGGCTAGAATCTCAAAATCCATGTCTCCAAGCTTTCCCATCGTACGCCAGCCGGACAGGCTCTGACTTGATTTCTTTGCACAGGCAACTGCAGCACATGCTGAAGAAAAGCAAGAGGTTCTCAGAGCCAACAGCGATCATGGCAAGTTTGGGACACTCGAGTTTAGCAGTCCGTCGCCCTGAAACAGCACTGTTGCCAGAACTATTCACCTCCGCAGAGGAGGCTCAGGTGCTGCCAGAAGGGTATTGATTCAAATCTTCATTCTGAGATTTGGCGCTGGGTGTTGTGTTTTGCAAGGCAGCCGCAGAAAAGCTGAAGGCTGCAGATGCAAGTCTTGAATTGCTGGACGCGCCCGTGAACCTGCTGCCACCGGCCGGGCCTGCTTTCAGCTTAAGGCGCCCGTGCATTCTGCAAGCTGTGTTAGAGGTCTTGCCCGCAGATGAGAAAACTCTGGACGTGGTGAAAGACATGGGTCGAGAGGCAAAGGGCATAGCCTTGCATCCCGCCTCACCGCTTCATCTGGGCAGGCCTTGAGGTCACTGAGCGAGGGCGATCTAGGCCTGGCACGTAATGCTCGTCCGTGGTTTCGGTGTTCTACTACTTGCAGTGAGTGAAGACATGTCCACTGATGACCGGACGCCCTAGCACTGACTGTTCCAAGATGCTGGTACTTGGCAGGGTTCAAGTCAGTAAGCAGGTTTCGCGGTTGTTTCTAGAAGGCTTTATAAAATGGTTCTGCAGCCTTGGCAACTGCAGCGCCAGCATGGAGAAGCAAGGATTCCAGCATTTGCCACTACGTAGTAGCAGAATTTCCGAATCGAACAATGGGATTACTCTGAAAAGCACTGAGCAGCTGGCACAAGTGCGATCAAGACTCAAAATGTGGGCCAAAGTGAAAGGGCCACAAGAAGACTCGGGAGGCTTCCTGGCTTAAGCACTACCTGGAATGTCGGCCAACATAGGGGGACTTCCGCACGGGTAGGGCAAAGACCGCTTTCGACACCACCTTTCCAGAAGACAACAAGAAGACTGTACTTGAAGGTGCTGCGGCTGGCATTGCTGGAAACATGGTTGAAGAGGGCCTCGCCGCAGTGCAGGCACGAGACGGCTGACACATTGGGCTTGACCAATCGGGGAGATGTGCAAGCCACATCAGGAGGAAGAATTCCCCTGGGACAAAGTCGGCCTTGCTTTCTTTGGGCCACGGCCTCGCTTTCATGGAAATCTGTGAGACTTCTTTGGTACAGTTGGTTCAAAGGTTCGCGCTCTTGGCAAACAGCTAATGCCTCAGAAAGTTCAAACAGGTTCAAACAGTTCTTTTTGCCACTTTTACGAAACTTGAAGGTGCTCAGTTTGTCAGGCCCTTAGAGAGCCAAGTTGATGCGGCAAGCTCTTGTCTTGTTGGCTTTTTGTGTTTGCCTGCTGCCTCAGACTTGAGGTGTACCCACTTCTCGAGGAAATCCTGGAGGTGCCTTGCTGTAGAGTCATGGGAATCGCTCCATGCCAGACTGAACCTCAACAGTAATGTGACAACGTGAGGATGATGAGGATGACTTTGACCGGCTACCGATGCCAGAGGGTCGTGCTGGGGGCCTGAAGTGACGGTAGCCTGCTGTAACCGCTGCCAGCTAGGATGTTCTCCATTTGAGTAGTATCTATGCTACCCAATATAGAGTAAAAATTATGTCCTCGTTTTGGGGTATAGTATTTTATATAAGGAATATTATCTTACTAGGTTTAACCACCAAAAAAACACTACTCATTTCAAGAAATGAAAGGTGCCTTTGCTGCCCTTTTCAGGCACCAAGGAGGCCCATGAGGGTCGAGGAGGTGGATCTCAAGCTGCCTCCAAAGCCAATGTCTGAAGCCATCGCCGAAAAAATGGAGCAGACCAAGAGAGCCAAGAAAGAGAAGCAGGACTTCGAGTTCAGGGCAGCACATGCACTGTTCAAATTAGACTCAGAGCAACATTTCACAGCGCAGCCGTTGACCTGAGAGGACTTCAATGAGGATGACTGGAAAAGGAAAAGATCAGCGTGAAGGGCACGGCTCTCATACGATTCTGCACACCGGGATAGTGGGATGTAGTGTGTTGTTTTCGCTCGCTGCAAAGGCCTGCAGGACGCATGATAGTTTTCCAAAGACAGACAGAGAAGCAGGGGTGCGCAAAAAAAGGCTGGCGTGGCGAGTAGAAGTGCGAGGAGCGGTCGCTGTGTGTTCGCAAGTGGAGCAAGATGAGTTTCAGATGAAGCCTTGCCAACAATGTCCAAGGCATGCCCTTCGCTCGATTGTGATTGCCTGTCAAATCTTGTAGCTCCTTGAAGGGCGCACCAGATTTGAGCAGTCGGCGCCACGCGCAACAGCACCGTGCCGCACGAGCAGAAACGGAGAGGTTCAATCAACTGTGGATTCATCCCATGGGATAGATGCCTCGCCATGCCGCGCCGTCAGCTGCAGGCTGCGGGCAGTTCTTCCGGTAAAGTGTAGTCGCAGGCCGAAGTTGTCCCTCGCATGCGCTGCTGTAGCAATCCATTAGATCGCTTTGTGCTGAACTACTCGCAATTGTTTTATCTTCCTTCCAAACCGCTTAGAAGTGTGAGTCGACGGTCGCCAAAGCGTTTTGGAAATGATGGCTTCGCCGCAGCCTGTGGATCAAGCCAGAGCCGGCAAACGCAGACTTCTCAGCTTCTGGATAGGGGCGACCATGGGAGCTGAGGAAGTCAATGATGCCATGATGATTGGCGCCATGTCAACCAAAAGCCATGACAGCGATGGCGACGACGTTGACAGAGTTCAGTCCAAGTCTCGACCGACGCAATACATACGAACAGAAATCCAACTCATCGACGATATACCACTGGGTCAAGGCTGTTCTGCAAGACGTGCAGCCAAGAAATGTCTAACCTCCAGCGCAATGGACTTGCTGTCTGGGTTGGTTGCCAGCTTGCAAATGATTTGATTAGGCATCTTCATGCATAAAGGGGTGCCCCTTTTCTAGGAACACCCATTTGCTCCCATCTAACACGTTTTAGTAATGTAAAGAGTCTGTGGAGGTAAGTTATTCTCGCGGCGCGGGTGCCAAAGTGCTGGCATAGTTAGTTTAGATCAGGCATTTCCCGCGCCCGTGTAGCAGGCACCGTTTCGTCTGGAATGCAGGGGCGGGCTCGTGACACTTTGTAGGTCCTGACAAGTAGGCGCCCAGAGTGATGATGCTCACTGCGCCGAGCCCTAGACATGCCAGCATGCAGCGGCCTGCTGGTCAAGTCCGGTCTAGATGAGGTTTTCCTGTCCAACCTTCCGACGGGAAAGTCTGGGACCTGACCGGCGTACCAGACCGACATGTTTCAACAAACAATGAGACCCCCCAGCCTCATTCCCTCCACTGCTGTACAAGCTCCAAGCAGCTCCAATCTGAGGCTGTTGCGCTAATCAGGCTGAAGCAATTCCCATCCAGTTGAATTTCAGTTGCCAAGGTTGTTTTGATCGACCTTGTGCTGACATGCGTGGACATCGACCTGCGCGCTGCGGGCAATGCTGCACCGACTTGGGCCTTCGTCGCATGCCAAGGCCAGGTATATTGCTTGTCTGCTTCGCTTTTCTACGAAGTAGTGGTAGTAGCAGCTGTCACATTGCCAGCCATCCTCTCATGATTAGCATCATGTACCAAGGATACCAAGGTCAATGATGATTGTCGAACTTCATGCGTTACCAAACCACATTGAAAAGCCACGATACCCCGTACGTAAAAGAGCCGTACATTTCTGCTCAACTTTGTCAACTTCCTTTGTCGCTGCAATGCCTGACTCTTAAAGGAAAAAGTCTCCAGTCCGCAAGGAAAGTTGTTGTTGCTGGCAGATGTTTTCGGGGATGAATCCCGGAAACTTTGGCTTCTAGAGACCTAAGCAGGGAGCTTCGAAGATGTTGTGGAGCCATGCTTTAGACTTGATCCCCAAATTATGTTTTCCGTAGGCTTCTCACAGGGATCCATCCCTGAAGCCATGGCTCCGAGAGACAATTTCACGGATCATCCCTTGTGGGAACTATTTTTGTTGTGCTTTCAAAGCTGCTCCCCGGAAATGGCCGCTGCATGCGCTGTTGGATCAGCATCATGTCCTCTAGAGCACAGTCCATCAGACAAAATGCAAGTCCATCATGAAACGCCGAGCCGTATGGCAAGCACAGAAAATGTTCCGCATGAACGACTGGCGATCGGCATGAGCCGAAAGACGACACCGAGTGATCACATTTTTGGGCTCTGTTCACCCAACATGAAATCTAGGCTTGTCCACAACTTGCAAAGGAGAGCAAAGAAAGTAGGCTTGCGGCTGTCCAGAAAGTGCCGACGCAATTACGCTTACAGCGGGATCTCACGCATGAACCAAGGCGCAGATGACATGCGACTAAACGGCCCAAGACAGACAGGCAGCTGCGTAGGCAAGTAGCTTTCATGACGAGGTTTTCATGGCAGTGCCTATATGGCCAACAAACTTGAAGAAATATAACATGCCACATTGAAATTCAGGACATGGTTTGAACATGTTTGACCCTTGTTCTAAACTAAGCGCTTGGGCTAGATCGGCATCTCAGCCATTCACGTAGATGATACTTCGCTGCATTCCTGTTGGTACATCACAGGTTATAAGGGCAATACAGGGATAATGGAAAAGAAGATGGAAGCTACTATAGTGTATTGGGGTAGTTTCCATTATCTTTCCCATTATCCCCATATAATCCTAATATTCCCCCAACATATACCCTACAATAATCTTGCTTCTTCAAGCTGAGCCAGGCTGCCTTGGCTTTTACACGGCTGAGTTGCTGACGAGCATCTTCGTTTTTAGGTTCAAGAGTCTCCGGTCCATGGACTGGTGGATCGATTTTGCCATCATTCTAGCTGCGTGCATTGAAGTACTGTTCATTTTGATGGGGACTGCTGTGGAGGAAGTGAGGATTTTCAAGCTTCTGCGGATTGCAAGGGTAATGCGTTTGATTCGCTTCATTCGCAGATCACCATCGCTGCGTGAACTGCGGAAATTGATGCTGATGTTCGCCAGCGTCATTCGCACTCTGGCCTGGTCTTTCCTATTTTGCTTTATTGCTACGACGCTCTGGTCCATGATTGCCGTTGAACTCCTGCATCCAATTATTCAGGAGCTAGCTGAGGAGGGCACATGGAGCGATTGCAAGGATTGCCGCGATGCTTTTGCTACGGTTCTGGAGTCGAATCTCACTTTTCTTAAAACGATGCTTGCTGGGGATAGTTGGGGCTTGGTCGCCATGCCTGTTATCCGAAGGGAGCCCTATACAGCAATCGTGTTCATCGGCGCTCTAGTTACCGTCATGTACGGAATCTTGCAGCTTGGCAGAGATCGGCAGATTTGGTGACTGGGAAAACCGCTTGAGCTAGGAGGGGAGCTTGCTTAAGCAAAAACATGTTTAAAAAGTTCGCCCTAAGCGATTGTTTGTGTCTTGGACGCTCCTTGTTAGTGCTCCCCTACCATAACCTGATTGCTTGAACGATCAGTTCTTGTACTTCAGACGAGACCCTTAGCCACCTTCAGCCAAACTGCAAGGAGGCCCCGACCCTGAAGCCTAAACGGTCTCAGGCCTTAAACCTTCAATCCCAGACCCTACACTCTGAGCCTGCCCCAACCCAGACCTGCAAACAGGCCCCAAACCCTGTCCCAAGGATTGACCCCAAAGGTAGGCCCTAAGTAGAGTCGCTCGTCCTACAGTATTGTTCTTGCTCGTCCCACTTGGTGATTTTGGCTTGCCCGAAGTGATTTCTGTCATGCCAGGAGAAGTAGGGGAAGCCATTGCGGGGATGCCACGTACTTGTTGCCACTCTTGTTTACGCCTGCTTGGAATTCTCAGCGCGCCGTGTTTTTAAGGGCGGCGTTTCAATAGAACCTTTCCCATCGGCTACATTGCACGCTAGACTCGTGTTTCAGTTGGCACCTGTTCGATGCGAGAAAAACGTGGCCTTGAAACAGTGCCAGAACGTTTTGAGAAAATGTTGTTGCAGAAATCAATTAAATTACAATCATCGCATATCTCTTGTGCTGTTGATTCCTGGAGTGGCATTCCTCAGGAACCTCATTGTTGCTGTGATTGTAGACGCTGCTGTGGAGCAGCGTGAGAAGGACATCGGTACGCTAGCTGCCGATTTGGATTTTGAGCTCGCAGCAGATTTGAAGCGGCTGGGGCAGATGTTCAAGAAGGTCGACGCTGACGGTGATGGTGAGCTCTCTTTACAAGAGCTCATACAGGGAGCAGAAAAGGTTCCGGAATTTCAGAACCGCCTGCGAGTCATGGATATTGACGCGGTTGATCTGGAACAGCTCCCAGGCAGAAAAAGCCTAAAAGGTTGTGTTCAGAAGCCTTGCAAGATCCTTGCATGACCTGTCATGTGGGCAGCGTGTCGTGCTCTGATGTCTTGCGCAACAGATGCTTGTCCCAGTATTCCCAGGCTGTTTCGCATGTTGGACGAAGACCATGGCGGGTCCATCAGCCCAGAAGAATTCAAGTTTGCCACCTGCGCGCTGATTCTTGCAGAATTTCCTTTCTTATTTGCATACAGGCCTTGCAGGCATTGAGTCTTAAGTGAGTCTCAGATTCGGATAGGATGCATTTTTTTGGATTCAAGCCTAGGCCCTGAGCCGCTGGATGCGTGAGTCCAAGACCGCGAACCACTTTGTCAAGTACATGGTCCGAAATCTGTCGGTAAGCCAAAGCCAACTGCAGAAGCAAGTCAGAGGGATCAGCAAGACCCTGAATAGAATGGCTTGCAATCTCAATGATTCTGCTCCCATGCAGAGGGCTACTTCTGACGGCTCTCAGTGCTCGCAGGGCTCGGCTTCAAGCGAGTCCAGCCTTGAACAGCGGATTCGCTGTTCACCAACATCTCAGGAGTCCTTGCGCCAGAAACTGCAAGCGCAGCCTGCGAAGCCTGTGCAGCCTGAGAGTCGTACTGCTGCAGAAGTTCGGCATCAGCTATCAGGGAGCATTGGATCCGATCTTGCACTGGGTCGTGACCAGTACAAGGACGACCAGGACGTCAAGCAGTGCGAGCCTTCTTGTGAAGAGCCTGTAGAACCCCTGTTCCTGCATTCAGGATATAGAAGGCTTGATTCTTCGCTTGAGACAATGCGTGGAAGACACAGAGCACAGGCTCCTGCGAAGGTGGCAGCCGGGACGCACGCTTGCACATTTGGCTAGGAGAGACCATACATACAAGCACAGACTGATGTTGCAGTCGTGTTGGTATGCAATGGCTGCATTGGCCGAGGAACGTCAAGCCCAAGTCCACCACCTTGTTCTGCCAATCTTCAGGCAATTCCTCCGCATGATGCCTAATTAAGAAGCTTGTTCATGCGTTCCTTGGCAGGCTAAGCCGAAAAGTGCAAGGTCCGCCGAGGCAGGGCTTCAAGCGGCTTGCGCTCATACCGTCTTCATCCGATTTAGTAAGCGAAAAGCATGCGAGTCGCCGTGAAAACCGTGAGTTGTCAAGCCACCAAGCTGTTGCATGACTCGTGGGAGAATGTTTGGTCCTTCCAGGCAAGTTTCACGAGGCGATTGTGACTCGGCAGCTTGCGTCATGCTGCCTCTTGTATAAGCAGTCCTCATTTGAAGCTGCCCGGCTGCAAAGGTACGACCTGCCTCCAGAAGCGAACCAAATAGAAGATGCCGCCGTGCGTGGTTGCTTGGCACTGCTCAGTCAGGGGAGGATCAAGTGGCCCAGTCATGTTTTTTCTAAGATACACCAGCTAGAGCATGTTCTCCGAACACAAACAGTGGGCTCTTCCTGGGAACGTTTCATTCCACAATACCATGTTGCGAGAGTTCAGATTTGAGGCGTTTTGTCTTTCGGAGGTTGGACTTCAACGACCAGTGCAAAGGGTTTGTCAGGGGCAGCGCACGATAAAGCCATTGGGAGCAAGCCTCTCGAGGAATCCTAGCGACTGGACCGATCACTGGAAGTGCAAAAAGGCTTTGCTGATCACGTCCTTAGCTATCACAAAGAGGCCGATGAAGCGCGATTGTCTAACTTCGGGCAAGCAGGTGCAGCGAACCACATGTTATGCAGATACTAGAAAAGTTGTAAAGGCGTTGTGAACGTCAGCCAGGTACAAGGGTTGGGCCCGTGACCTGCAAATTGTCAGAAGCTTTAAATGACACGATGCCATCATGGCTGGGTTGTTAGCAGCTGCCCCTAAAGTTTACGTTGCGCAGGCCCGGTCGGGGTTGTCCAGTATCCAGTGAATCCAGTCAGAAGTGTCAACTGCTGTCATCCAGGTCTGAAGTGCCTTGGCAGCATTACACTGCTTCTTTAATGATTCGAGGCTGGATGGGGTCATGTGGATTGAAGGCTGTGGTCGCCAACAGCTGGCCTCAGGTTTGTGTAGGTTAGGGTTTGAGGATATTACCTGCAAAAATAATGGAAAATGAAATGGAAAAGAAAGTCGCTGACGAAATGGAACCCCTTATAATCTCACTAAACCGACATTATACAAGAACACCGGAATTGTAACAGGCCTAGGTGGCCGTTCCGCGACATAGGCTTGTAACAGAATTTCCTGGCTTGCGACAAGCACCTTTGCGACAAGCCTTTTTTGGTGGGGCATACCCTTACCAAAGCATTCGCGACAAAAGTATGTAACAGCAGTCCGCAACAGACGGGTATGTGACACGGGGTGGGGCCGAAAAATGTTGATCTACCCTGACTTTCCAGCCAGTCAGGCCAGCTCTGGAAAGAAATGCAAGGCGGGCAGAAAGACGAGTCGATTTGTAGATCGACGCACTACCTACTCTTTAAAAAGCAGTTTAAGGTTTCATTTTTAAATGCATCCACGTTCCAATCTCCCTGGCGCATCCTATAGGGATGCGTTCGTGGACGAGGCAGCCAAAAACTGGCCATTCTGCCATAAAGGCACATGCGTGAAAATAAAAGCAGGGTCAGCCGTAGCCGCACGTGTCCGGTGATGTTCTCTAATAATTGCTTTGCCTATTTCAAGCGTGGCTCTGCAAGCTCTTCATCCCTGCGGGCTGAGTGTGTGCTTCAATGTCGTCAGGCAACTGTGGGCTTTGCAAATGTGAAGAGGTGAGGCAGACATGAATCACCTCTACCAGCTGTATAAAAGCGGACAGGCAAGACCTTTCTGGCTTCGCTGTGCTAGTTAAGGGGTTCCTCCCACAGTTTTGGCCAACTTGCGAGCCTGTGGCATCGTCAGCCAAAGGCACTTGGCATTGCTTCCCAGATCTTCCCAGTTTTCAGGGTCGGTCTGTGTTCCAAAGATGTGCAGAGCAGCAAACGCGGCAAAAAAGCACGATGGAAGATCGGAGAAGGGCTGTTCTGTCTGCATGAGCAGAGGCCGTTTAGGTCACCATGTGGTGTAGTTTAGTCTCTGTTTTCGCCCTGCACTGTTGTTTGGCTCTGAGCCTTGATGTAGGCTTCAGGCGCGATAATCCACACGGCGTCCATCCATTTCCAGTTGTGCCGTTGCGCTCTGAAACAAGTGGACTCAGGGACATTCTCCAGAGTGCAGCTAGGAAACTAAATAGTGCCCCTGCCAGACTAGACTGAACGCAAAGTCGTTTATGTCTTCATTGCTTGTCACTCACAACATACCTGTCCAGCACGCAGGCTGCTCTCTAAACCGCTGTTCTATCTGGCAGCCGTGTTGCATGCAAGCAGCATGATGGGGCAAAGCCCTTAGAGATCTGCCGATCATGGCCTTCTTCTGTCGACTGCTGCTAGGCCGGTTGACAGCATTGTTTGCTCAGATCATGTGAACTGCCTTTTCAGGAAGCTTGGTGGGAAGCTACGTGGTGGCCCAAGACCTTTCCACCTGGAGGGAGTGTGGCACCCTGAGCTGAAAGGGGGCCGGACGGCAGACAGTCAGGCAGCCGATCCTTCGTGTTTGATTCCAGGCTCAAAGGAAGCTAGCAGATACAACACTTGCTGCGCGCGACTGTTGTCACCTCAGTCATCCACATTCGGTAAGCCGGGGATGACACCCGTCAGCAGGCTTTACAAGGCTCCCAGGAGCTAGAAGGCAAGCATGGCAAGAGCAGTCTCAACATGAGGCGTGAGGAAGCCAGACAGGCTTGCTTGGAGTGACCACCTCTGCGTTTTAAAGGTTGAGATGTGCCTTGCTATGACTTCATGCTCGAGGTACGCCAACTGGGGCTTCACTGAAGCCACATGTCTGCCGTGGCTGGAGGCATCAACGTTTCCGCTTCTGAAATGATTTCGTTGCACAGACACTCAGCCGTAGGCGATAGAGACGCATTGCCCTCTTGTCTGCGGAGACTGCTGGGCAGCTTCCTTAAAGCATGGCATCTTGGCAGAGCAGCAACCCGGAATTGAGCCATCCTGGCCAGGAACTTGGGAAGCGCCTGCGGCAGGAGTGCAGGTTCCAGCTGCAGGCAAGCGGTTTTGGATAGCTTCGAAATTACTCTCTCCGTCTGTTCTGTGCTGCTCTGCCATAGGTCCTGGGAGAGCCCCAAACTGCAGCGTCTGCTCCCCAATGCCAAGAAACCAAAACAAGAGTCTCACTCGGCGAGAACAACCATGGCGACTTGATTCTAAGGATTTGGTGTAACGAAACCTTAAATGACTTTGTGTACAACCGTTGCGAGCCCGCATGTTTGGCACGAACCCAAGCTTCTGGACTATTCATGGTGCGTATGCGGTGCATACCGACAATGGACACAGCACCTTTTTCCATTACTTTTGAGGTGAACGAGACTCAGTGCGCCTCGGCAGAGGCGCGGATGGAGAGTTGCAGGGACATTCCCACGTTCAACCGTTTTAGGCTAAAGTATCACGTGCGTGCATAAGGAAAAACAAGAGAGTCAGATTACGAATCGAAAGGAGTACAGTATCAGGTTGTGCTAGCTCCTCACCACAACTGGAGAGGGTTGCTCCCGCGAAAAATCTCATGCATAGAGCGACCTAATCGATCGGCATGGTCGAGCAAGCAATGAGTCACGATTGGAGTTTGGAGGAGCTGCAGTTGCTATTGTCGTGCAACTTGCGCATACGATTGAAATTCAGGCGGAAGAGTGCATGCGAGTGTGCGGCAATTACAACACTTGCACCTGTCGAAAGCCGCGGCCTCGCCAGTTGTTTCCGAAGATGTGCCGTTTTCCCAGCCCATTCCGCCAGTGGTAGTACTTGCACGCAGTGTCAAGGTTCAAAGGCAGCCAAAACCCGGCAGCATGCGATGGCTTCACTTTCAGTGATGGCCAAGTCAACCGAAGGCCGGCAAGCAAGGGCTCTAGTCCACGCCTCCAGGATGGCTGAAGTTGTGAGCACAGTCCCGAGAAGTGACCTGCACAAGCTTGCGGCTGCAGGGATGACCTCTTTTACGACTGCGCCATGGTGCCACGAGAATGCATGCACACTGATGGTGTGCCATGCAACACCTATCGGTATTGCACTCCGAACCTATGCTTGATTGACGATGCTTGAAGCTCAGCAATTGCGGCAGACGAATGTGGGGTCCGTGAATCTGATGCTGTCCAACTAACTCTGTGACTAAGAGCTGCATGAGCGCTATATGACAGTTTGCGACAAGGTCATAGTAGGTTGCAGGGGGACAGGAGCTGATTTGCCTAGAAGGCAGGGCAACTCGGTGGAAGCACTTGGCGACGCTCAAGCATGTACCTGCAAGGTTCACTCTGTTGTGCATTCTGAGTGTCTGCAACATACTCATCCTGGGTGACTGCAACATATGCATGTATTGAGTTTGG